CTATATAACCATGCATACAGTTTGGCCCGTGTGTTATAGCACTGGCTACGCACGCGCATGAGTATGGCCTGCCCAGGTTTAAACCCTGGCAGCAGTAGCATCCCGGATATCTTGATAATATATATCCGGTAGCGGGGCCGCGTGGGGCGCGCGCGCGTGCGGCGGCCTTGGCCTTCCCGCTGCTGCTTTTTTCTCCTTTTTTCTCTGCTGCCACACCGAAAAAACACCTGAAAATCCCGCTGTTGCATGCGGGGGGAAGGGCGGGTTGGAGCGGGGACCGTTCCCGCTCTGATACCAGTGTGCCGGACCCGCCGGGATGGCGGTCCGACAGGATGGAGGAGAAGGGTGGAAGAAGGAGGAGACAGACGTGGAGCTGGAAGGGACAGCGCAGTGCCGACGCAGACTCCACACGCACGTTCTCCAAGAACTGCCAAAGTGAAGAATACCGAAAAACAGACAACTGCTGGGGTATACCCCCAGCGGACTGACTGACTGGACTGGACTGGCCTGGTACTGGGCAGGACTAGAACAGCACACGGCCTGTGGGGTCAGGCCACGGCCTGGTCCCACAGGCCGAACTGGGCAAATAGCCAAATAGGCCCTGGCTGTAGGCCAGGGCAGATGAAGGCCCGATGCAGACACTGAGGTTATCCGCAGATAGGATGTGTTTACTGCGTCTACTTGCGCATCTGGGCCATGATCTGGCCGCTTTGTATTGGCTAGATTTTAAGGAGAATTAGCATGATTCAGGGTATCTAGTCACATCCCAGGGTTTACTGAACGTTTGTTAGTGCTCTTAAAAGCACGGTGGAAAACTTGGAAAACTTGAGAGTATCTCCTGTAGTCTAATTCTCTCAGCATTTTCAAAAAAAAAACAAAAAAAAATTCTCGGCAGGCTCAGTGGGTCTATGCGTACTAGGGTTGTGTTGTAGCATGCCATCTCACTGCCTTGATAAATCTTTTGCAAAAACCATCTTCTCTCCGCTCACCAGAGACAACCTCACGTTAACGAACATCGGCGCTACGGAGGCAGTGGGAGAGCTCTCGTCAGTGGTAGGAACGCTACTCGCTTGGTGTTTGTATAATAATTATTAGGGTAGGAAGCAAACTTGAACTGTATGCATAAGTGGTGATCTTGGTTCGTTGAATGTTGATGATGTTGAAGATCCCAGGGTGAGTGGCAGGAAACCCGTCTACGTGGTTCAGGCTTCCTTGAATTAATAGATCTGTACTTGCCAATGTTCTCTTTTCTGTAAGATCTTGAAGCCGAAGCTGGGTAAGGCTCCCAGAAAGACTAACAGGAGAACTTGGATATAAATTCTTCAGTAGATCTTGGCTGCTGTGCTTCCTTTTTTTTTTTTTTCTGTGTTCGAATTTTTCTGGCCCAATTGCATATTTTCCTCAGAGTTGCAGTCATGGGAGATCATGGGACGCAGGACCTGGTTTTAAGCACAAGCTTTTGTCCCCCGACAGAAACAAAAAGACAAAAAACAAAAAAAAAAGTAAAATTTGGGGGGGAGGGGGTCGTTTTCAGATTGGTAAAAATAATAATAGAGACAACTCCGCTCTGCACAGTTTCAAATTCGCAGGAATAACAGTCCACTCCAAGTTCGGGCGAAGACAAGTTCGAAACTCCAAGGAAAACAGTGAACTACGCGTGCGACGGCCTACCTGTTCAATAATTCTCAGAAACGGGAGGTGTCCTGGGCTAGTGGTACCGTTCCCGTGGCCTGCCGTGGCCTGGGAGCAGGTACCGGTAGCAGGCCCTCCCGTTTTTGGCCTCTGGCGGGACGCGGTTCCSGTTGGAATACGAGGTGCCCGATTTCTTCCCGCCGTAGGTCCATCTGCGGTGCCCGAATTCTTCACGCCCTACGTCCATCTGTGGTCCCCGATTTCTTCCCGCCCTATCCCCCCAACCCCCCCCGGCCACCACCTCTCTGTGTCTCCCTCCCCCTTTC